TTGAACAAGTCTTATAGGATGCATAGGAGGAAGCCAGGTAAGAAAGGGCATTACAGAGAGAAAACAAGAGCAGAGGCAGTGAGAAATAGTAAGATTTAGGCAGAAACTACACGTTTTGTTGCTACTGGCTCTAGAGGCAAGAAATGCTGGAACTTTAACACATTATCTCTAACCCTGATAGCCCTCTTCCAGTTAAGGATGATTATTCCTGTTTCACAAATAAGGAAGGCGAGGCACAGAGAGATTAAAGTTTGTCCTAGGAAATGATATCACAGTTCCTCAAAAAATTAAAGCTAGAATTACCATGTGATCGATCCAGCAATCCCACTTCCAGGGAATACACCCAAAAGAACCGAAAGCAGGAACTCAAACAGATATTTGTACACCTGTGTTCATATCGGCATTATTCTCAATAGCCAAAAGGTGGAAGCAACACAAGTGTCCATCATGAGATGAATGGATAAACAAAATGTGGCACATACATACAATGGAATATTATTCAGAATTTAAAAGGAAGGAAATTCTGATACCTGCTACCACACAAATGAGCCTTGAAGACATTATGCTAAGTGAAATAAGTGAGTCATAAAGGGACAAATATTGTATGATTCCATTTATATGAGGTACACAAAAGAGTCAAATCCATAAAGACAGAAAGTAGAACAGTGGCCACCAGGGAGTGGAGAAAGGAGAAAATGGGGAGTTTATGTTTCATGGCTACAGAATTTCAATTGGGGAAGATGAGAAAGTTCTGGAGATGGATGGTAATGGTTGCAGAACAATGTGAATGTACTTAATGCTTTAAAATGGCTAAAATAGTTAATTTTATGTTAAATATATTTACCATAATAAAACAAAATTTATATAAATAGACATAGATTTATATTATAGATGTATATAGATATCCTAGGGGCTGCTCTGAGATTCAAGCCTAGCTCTGTATTCTAAAGGGAGCGACTAGTTTCACCCTCAGGCCCAAAATAGGAGAGGTTTAAAGAAAGCACCTTGGCCAAAGCTATCAACAACCCGCCAGCATCTGAGAATTATAACATTAATTAGCAGTGACTGGCATCTATCAACATTTCTATAGATATATGAACATTGAAGAAAAATCCATCAGTATAAAAATGTTAAATGACAGGAACAATATGACATATTAATCCTGAGAGCAATAGTAAAAGATAGTTACACACTTTCATCTCCTCCTTTAAACTATAATAAATGCAAATGAATGAGCATATTAAGTGCTTCCTCTCTCTTTTTAATCACTACCGTGCCATTCCAAGCATAGAGATTTTTTTACAAGGTGCAGCAAACAGATAACAGTTATGAAGGTGGTAAAACAATATGTAATCAGATGACAATCTAGAGCCAGGATTGGTACTCTCCAGCTGCTGTGTCAAGAGTTTGACTGGCCAGGGCAGGCTGCAGCACACAGCAGTGCCATCTCCCCACCATCCTCCCTGCTCCCTCCCCCACCCTGCCACATTGCAGCTGTGCATCAGGGGGTGCCAGGAATTGAAAGGCGCATTGCCTTGAATGATATTTTTGCTCTCATTCCACATGCTATTAAGTCCCTCCTACCTCCAACTATCACCAGCCGGTACATCAAAAACATGGCAAAAGCCTGTCACTGAATTCATTCATGGCATTTGCTGCAGCTTTGAAATACATAGAAAAATCAAATGCCAACTATCCTTATTCATACATGAGAGGAGAGCTATTTGGAAATTGTTCTACATTCACCTTTTACTACTAACAGCAAATCCAAATGCCCAGCCACAAGCCATCTATCACGTGGCCTCACATTGGTACAGAAGCACAATCTTAATATATAATCATCAGAGTTTGGGTGAGGTGGAGTCAGAGGAATGGGGCCAGGTGCCGGTACTTCTTCTATTTCATCTTGTTGGGGTTTAAAGGCCCCTTGAACTTTGTCCAAGGCCAGACCTTCTTGTTCTCCGGGTCTCCTCTACCATGCCTATTTCCGTATCAGGACCTTCAGGTGACAGGTAAGAGAAGTGAAATTGCTCCCCTTGGAGCCAATGCCTTTTCTCCCGGTCTCTGCTGCTTTTCACTACCTTCCCCAGTTCCTGTCTCTTCTCTTTCTTGTCACTTGTACCCAGATTTTAGGTGTCATTGGGAAAGTCTTTCTTCTTATAGCGGCTCAGGCAGCATGCCTTCCCATAAACACCAATAGCTTCATATGCTTCTTCAACCAAAGACCACTGCAGTCAATCAGAGCACTGCTTTTATTCCAGACAGATAACTAATCAATCCTTCCATCACCGTGCAATAGAAAAAACTCTTCAGATTCTAGGTTGATTATTACTTGGTAAGCTACTTAATTACTAAAAAGCATCTGTACTGGCTTTTTTGTTGTATTTTTCTAGGTATGTAGAACTGCTCCCAAAGTCTGAAGTTTCCAGAAATCCTATCTTCATGTTTACAAAAACTGCATTTACATAAAACAGATGTCAGGAGGAAAAAGTTTTTCCACTGCTCTCTTAGGTTTATTTCCTGCAGGTATGTGAATTAAACTGACAGAAAATAAAATAGCACGAGAAAAGGAGGAGTTTCTTTACACGGGCAATGCACATATATATGGGAGTGCCCAATGACGACTAACTCAAAGGGGTGGTTAGAATATGAGACTTATATACCTAACTTTGTGGGGAAAGAGGAGGAAGCTCCTATGGGAAAAACAGGTAGGCTTCCTTAGAAACGGCAAATCAATTTTTAGGAGAGCAAACGGTAGATAAGAAAGTTGTGATAATGTGTGTTTATGAAGGTGAAAGTGGTCTTTCTGTCTTCTTCAAGGCCATGAAACTCTCCTGGAGAGAGGATTTATGGTAGCCTCAGTTGCTGCTTTTAGTCAGATAAGGGAAGCTCCAATATGTATTCTTGAATCTCAAATGTCTTCAGCTTAAAATAAACTTTGTACCAACTCAGGGATTCCCACAGGTCCCCACTCCAAAGATGAAGACCTGGAGTGGGTAGGTGTAGTTGTTGTACAGACAACATAACCTGTCTTCTATAATATCGGAAGGAAAAGGAACATATAAGCCATAAAGTAACTCTCCTGATATGTATATGGCCTTCAGGTTTATTCTACTTATGAAAGCCACCTTCTATACAAGTATTGAACCCTCTTAATTTTTCTCATTCCAAATATTACTCAAAATTATATGCTTACTCATTTATTCCTACATGTATTCTCTATTTCACACAAACACACACACCATATTTATCAAGATAATTCTGACAATAATATGTTCTAAACTCCATGCAGGATTCACACTTTCTCAAATAATTGACAAAAACATGCATTCCTTAAGTTCATATGTTCCACAAAGCACTTAGCTCACTCTCCGAACTGGAAATGGCTTAATTACCTTGGGACAAGGGGAAATGGTGGGGTGAGACAGACAGGAAGAGAGAATGAGATCAATTCCTTAAAACAAAAGAGTTAGAGCAGGGAGAAACCTTGGAGAAAATCTGATTCAATCCTGTCACACTACTAATGAGGAAACCGCTAAACCTTAGAAAGCTTAAATCACCTGCCCAAGGGCATACCACTACCTGGTGACTGAGCCAGGCTTCCTAGCTGCAGTCGTGTGTGTGTGTGTGTGTGTGTGTGTGTGTGTGTGTGTGTGTGTGTGTGTGTTGTGTGTATGTTTAACCTCTAAGAGAAGCACTGAAAATTTGTGTTAAAAGGCAATTTCAGATACATGCTTCAACGGTAGTGGTACTGCAAGAGCACCTAAGAGAACTTGAATCAGTCACTCAAATGATAATCTACTCTCAATTTAATAATCTCCCCAGAGAGATTGCCTCTTGGTAGACATTTCTGTATTGATTTAAGCCCAGTTCTACAGATCCTAAAGGAGATGTACTCAGTTCCTTTTATTGCTCTTTAAACCCTCTTGATTTCCTCAAAGTCCATGAGGAGTTTCTTTCTCTCACTCTCTACCCACCACCACCATTGAATATTTCAAGAAAAAAACATTTTAAGGTTATTTTTAAATGCCATTCTCCTTTTACATTTCTCCAAATTTCGTGCATTGAGCTGTATTGCTTTTGTAAGCAGAGAAGAAAAGGCAATAAATATTTATCTTTTAATTTCCATTATTCTATGTCGTCTGCACATCTCATAATTACTTTAATCATTACTTTAATCATTTAAATCTTCCTTTAAAATTCAAGGCAAAAATTAAGACCTCCCAAAAACACACATGTGCACACACACAAAAAAGCCTTTTTTCTTTTGCTGATTTTTTTTTTTTTAATTTTGTAGAGATGGGGTCTCTCTATGTTACCCAGGCTGGTCTCGAACTCCTGGCCTCAAGCAATCCTCCCACCTCAGCCTCCCAAAGCGCTGAGATTACAGGCATGAGCTGCCTCACCAATATTTTCTTTTCTATTGCTATTTTGTTGTGGCTTTCAATTACATATATGACAGAATACCAATACTGTAAACCTACTGTTCCTTGCATTTGTTACTCTCTTGCCTGCTATCATCCACCCAGGGATTAAAGAAGGCAGGGAAGATTGTATGTCATGTTTGTCTCCACCTTGCCAATATTCTATGGACTGTAGCCTTGGGAACAGAACTCCACCTGCCCTTTAATTCCCTCAATACCAAGTCTTCACTGTCAATTCACTTAGTCAGCACCTAGGGCATAAAATATACTTTGTGAAGTATATCAGAATACCAAACACATATAGCTCTGCAAGTACACAGGTGGACTGCAGGGTCCATCCCCTCTAGTTAAAGAAAGGAATTTTCCTTCTCTTTACTTCCCCAGGGCTGGTAGTACTTGTCTCATCTCTGTGGTCCTATATTTCTCCTGACAAAAGGTTTGGCTCCAGACACCATCACTTGGGTCAGGCCAAACCAGTCTCTAGGCAGCAACACAACACCTGCAAGTGGTTTGATTGTCCCTCTTGCTCAGAAATATTTTGACCTTGTCTATTATTTCCAAAGCCATTTGTTCTAGTTTACCTTCTCAATCAGCCCTTCTCCAGGATCTGTCTTAGATAACTTGCCACAAAATTTTTTTGTTTATTTTTTGACTCCTTCTTTTGTTCACAATGTTCTCCCACAGCAGTCTATTATGGGTTCGTAACAAATGAGTCCCCACATTTACATCAAACCTACCTCGGCCTAGTCCTTGTCTTCAGGAAGAAGTACATTTACACTCTATAAATCAACAAGAAAAACTCTCCGAATAGGAAGCCTATGAAAAAGCTATCTTTATTTCTCGTTTTGTAAGAGCCCATTTCGAATCCTGAAGTATTCCCATTTTACTAAGTTGAATTTCTACATTTTCTTCTACTCTTTCTTATCAGAAATCCTAGTCTCCTTCCCTGACTTTTCTTCATAAACAGCATGTCTGTGTCAGAATTTGGTGGTTAATGAGTGCTAACCACTCACCTGTCCAAGAAGTCTGGGTGCTCCCAAACCCATTGTTTTACCTTTCAATGAAACAGTTCAGAAATTTCAGAAGCTTATCTGTTTACAATGAGCCTACCTAGTTTCATCTGAAATACATTAACTGGTATACTTTAGTATCTATGTGCTTTATCAGAATTCATCTACTTCATTCTATTGTATAAGTTCTAAGTAGTTTGATCCCCTTTAACACTTTAGAAATCTGATTACAGTTTTACTTTTTTAGCTCTCTTTAAAGGATAGGATAGGAAAACGCATCTTAAATTGCACAGCTGCACTCTCTGACTCAAGCTACCTAGCAACTGTCAAAATACAACCCAAACCACAAAGGTGTTTGAAGCTGCATGTGAAAGCTTATTCTAACAGAGATACTGCCAACTCTTCTACTGTCACATGCAGCTTGGCATTTCAGCACCAATACAATAGGGAGACAGCTTGAGAGTGGGAAAAGTGTTCTGATGGCCTAAAATGTTTGAACATTCTCCTTTGCATTATTCAGAATATAACATAAATGCATAATTGGAGTCAAAGCAGTAAGTTCCATGAATTACATGAGGGAAAATGTTATTAATTCCAGTTCCTCCAAATTTCAGTTTCAGTGAGTACATGTCTACATAAAAATCCAAATATCTGTGTCTCTTAGGTTAGAGTATTTAATCCTGCTCCTCAAAACTCATGTTTCAGAGTCTGCTTGGAAAAAGAAGGTAAAAATAATTTGCCAACTGCATTGCAAGGAAACTACAGTTACCTTTATGCCTTCCAGAGGTCAAATAAAAGCCATTCTCTCTATAAAAATAAAAACATATATTCTATGAAAGACCCACTAGAAACGGTTAACAGTATTTGCCTCTGGGGTGCTGAGAATCTGGGGCACTGAGGATCTGGGGCTTACCATTTATTATATGTTCCTTTATATTGTTAAACTTTTTTCCATGTTCACTTGTTGTTTCTAAAATATGAAACAAACATTAAAAATAAGCTAACTTGAAGGTTGCACAGGTTTAATAATGAGATTATTCCCTTGGGATGAGGAATGGGAACATGTGTATGCTGGTACCTGCAGACAATCATAGGTTTCTACAGTAAACACTCCTCCACCACGTGCTTTCTGATCATATTTAAGAAATACAGCTGTTCTCACTGGGACTACTGAGAAAATAAACTGGAGTTCTATTTTGAGAATTCAAAGTACATACCATTCATGCAAACCAAAGAACACACATTTATTCAAGGACCCAGCCTACTACTTCATAGTTATAAAACGTGGAAAAGAAACCACAAGTCTCATATAAGCAATACGGCTGCACAACTCTTCAAATCCTTCTCTAAAGAATTTCCGTTGTATATATTAAACCCACAAAACATCCCTGAGGATCTATCATCCATATATGTCTCCAGCTTGCCAACATTTACTATAAAATCACAATACTTGTGCAACTTCTTTGCTTTCTCACCCTCCTACCCCAAACATTTGCACTATTTTTTCTTGCCTGAGCCAAATTAAGTTAGAAAATAACTATTTTGTAAATTACTGGGCACTCACCCATCACATTACACCCCAATTGTCTTCAGTTCTTTATTCCTTACCATATTTGTCAGCTTCTTGAGGTTTAGGGGACTCTATCCTATTTATACTCACAACCCCAGCACTTACCATAGTAGGTCCTCAATAAATGTGTTTTTAAATCTAAATAAATTCCTCCCCAAAATGATTCCTAATTTTAACTTTTAAAATATATTTTCCTGGTGATTCGCCTTCTGGTCATCTGAATACTCAGACAGAAACCTAATATTTGCTTCTCTCGTACTACTATTAATATTCCCCCAGGGTTTGATTAGTTGCTCTCTACTCTATACAGAGCCTCCTAAACATAATTTGCCTTCGCAATTATAATGATCTCTATATGAATCATCTCCAAATCTAATTTTCCAGTCCTGATTGTTTTCTCTTATTAGCTAATCTTTTACTTCCTGTAGTTATCAAATACCTCCACCAAATGTCATGCAGACACATAATCCTTCAAATGGCTAAAACAAAACACTTCATTTTCCATCCAGAGTCCAAAAAACCTGGAGAAAGTGTATATATAGCCTATTTTAATAGCGTAGTTCAGAACAGTACTTTCAGATTTTTTTCTTCAAATTCTATTTTATTCCCCTCCTCCTCTCAGAGTAGACTGTCCGACCAGACCCTAGTTCTTTTAATACACCCATTTCGCTAAATTTCCTAGTCTGTGGACCCTAATTTCAATTAGTATCAAGTGCACTGGGGAGGAAACCTCACCTTTCTCATTTATTCTTTTGGCTATCCCACTTAGCCTTGGTGATTTTCAAAGGATGGAGGAGAAATGAAGAAGTACATACATACAGAGGCATGTTGGAATGTCCCCGGGATGTATGTAGTTATTAACTTAACTCAATATTCTCATCTAATTTACATTTGGGGGGATACCTTTCTCTACGATATATACTATAGAGAGTGAAGCTTAATGAAATCATCTTGGCTGGAGATAATGTAGAAAAGATAATCACCTACATATTATGGGGAGGAAAGGTAATCCGAGTTTTAGGATGGAGTGGTAAAGATATACGTTTATCTAAAGGAGGCATGGGCTTAAAAACTACTGAGAAGCACTGTGTTGGCGTTCTTTTACCTGGAATACTAATTCAAATTCCCAAGAAAAGCCTGACCACGTCCTCATTCTCTGTCCCTCCACACCAGTGAATCTTTTCTTTTCTTACCAGGCTCCTTTATGCCTTATTTTTCCATGGAGATGGCTTTCGCCACTTAATGACCAACATTTCTATGCCAATTATCTCACTTCTCCTACTTCCAAAGTCTAACTCAAATGTCCTTTCTTCCTGGTCTACTTAAAAGAAATACTCTGTATTCTTCCCTCCTTAACCCTCTTCAATTACATACACTTAGCACGTGTGTGTAAAATATTTGTTTTAGTATCTAATTGTCAAACTTGAAGAATCTTTGACTTGTCATTTTCCTGAATAAATTGTATGCCGCCCCGTCAAAGGTGGGAATTCAGAGCTCTTGTGTCATTTTTTCACCTTCATCTTGATTTTTTTATCTCAAGGATGTTCTACAAATATTAATTGATTCAAATCTGAAAACACAGCCACAAGACTGAATAACTTGTTAATCTACCAGAACCTATACACACAGCACCAAAACACTCACCTATTATCTGCCTTGAGCTGAACTGGATAAGATACCAATATATATAAATATTATGTTGAAGTCTGTCCTCCAATATCCTTGCACTGACAGGAAATCTCTATGTCTCATTTTCTTTCTTCTGAATAAACCATCATTTATAATGTCTAAATGACTTCCTAGGAAAATCGAGATGACCCTTTAAATCCAAGAATTCCTTCAATCATTTCAAGAAATGCCATATATGAAGTTATAAGAACAGAATGCAGAGAGTTTAATCCTCTAACAAACTACTTTTTTCAGGTAATATTTACTTTAAATACCTTTCCAAAGGCCTACTATATTGATTCACTGTATTCAGAAAGCTAAAATATAATACTAAAATTTTAGAGCTTATATTAGAAATCCTTAGCCACAATTTCCATGAAGTAGATTAAAATAATGAAAATGATAAATAAGTTAAATAACACAAAGATCCTTATAATCTTAGACATTTTATACTCAGTTTCTCAACTCCACTTTAAGAGTGACAGTAAGTGTAAAAGAATCATTTAAAATGCAGAATATGGTATATGTACTCAATGGAATACTGAACATCCATAAAAATAAACTATTGCTTCACACAAAAATACAGGTAAATCTCACAAATATTATGTGGAGGGAAAGAGGCCAAACACGAAGATGCATATTATATGACTCACTTATACAAAGCTCAAAAATGGGTCAAACTAACCTATGGGGTCAGAAGTTAGCAGAGTGGTCACCTTTAGGATGAGGCAGCAACTGGGAGAAGGTGTGAGGGTAGCTTCTGGGATGCTGACACCATTTTATTTCTTGATCTTGGTGCTGGTTACACAGATGAGTTCACTGTTTTGAAAATCCATCAAATTATCTATTTGAGATTTGTACCACTTTTCTGTATATATATTTCAAATAAAAGTTTACTTGCCAAAAAATTATAATAGTAATGTCCATAAGCTTCTTCCTAATGAAAAATTACTTTACATAAAATGTGTACTTCTTAACAAAACCCATGGGTTAATTTCTAATTGCATAAAACTTGATGTGTGATAAAATAATAGTGCAATCAATACATGTTCCTCCAAAATGAGTAAAATAATTTTTAAATATGGTGCTGCATTGCCTAGTAAAAAGATGAAAAACCTGATTCAGAAATCCATGATTAATGTTAGCATTATCTGTGAAACTAGACAAGTCACAAATGTTCCTTGGTTCTGTTTCAACTATTTGCAATAACAGTAAGTTTCTATATTCTTCACCAGACCTACTAAAATTGTTCCTTCTCCTTTCAGATCTAGGAAATCTTTCAATTTGGAAGTATGTAAAGTTTTGGGAAGGACAACCAAATGGAAGCAGAGCATTAGCAGAGCCTGGGATGGAAACTTCCTCCACTATCCATCTTGACCTTTACTTTAAGTCAAAAGTGACTTCAGGATACTCCATTTGTGTTCATGCCAACTGTTTGAGATTTTCCTTGTGGATTCTCATCATGCTTCCATTGTGATCAACAAAATAGGATAATTAAGAATTATTTCTACCTTGAAGGAGCTAACAATATAGAAGGAAGAACACATGTACCCATACCCAATAATACCTGTCTTCACACAGGAAATATCTAAAGTGATATGGTAGTCTATAAAGAGAAGATATGTGGAATAAAAATGTAAGTTCTTTTAATTAGAAATTAATCTGAACCTTGAGGGATGTATAGAATCACACAGGAAGAATGTAAGGCAGAAGGGGAAAATATGTGGCAAACACTGGGCAATGCCCAGCTAATGCATGGTCCTTCCATCTTCCATAGCCGTGGTGGACATTACTAGTCAATCATTGCAATCTCTTGCTGACTTGGTTCTGAGAATCAGAATCCTTCTCAACATAGACCTGCTCATTGCCACAATTAGCAGAACAGTCACATAAGATGAAATCCATTTGCCATCCCTGGTGTAAAATAAAACACCCAGATGAATAAAGAAACATGAGAAAAATAAGCAATATGGTTTGGCAGGAGAGGCTATAAAGGAGTAACAGAATACAAGTACGAAAATTTACATTAAAGCCAGATCATGGAGTGCTAGAGTGACCTGAATGCATTAACAAATTTGGGTTCGTTCCTATTCCTTACTGTCCAGCAAATGAGGCTCAGTGTTAAATATCACTCTGTGCATGTATGTGAAATGAAAAAGTTCTACCTTATAACTTTCTCCCTCAAGGGAGAGAAATAGAGTTGAGAAAGCATATGACAGAGGTTCACAAGGCAGATGTGGCATAAGGACAAGAGATAAGAACAATTTTAGGTGCTGGTGATGGCCTCATTGATAGAGTTGATTGTGGATCTGAGAAAGGAATCAAGAGAGCTAATGGGTTAGAATATGGGTGTTGAGAAATCAGAAACCACAAAAAAAGGTTAAGTACAGGTTTATTAAGAGTGAGCGAGGAGAAAATAGAATTATAATGAACAGACACAGGAGATAAGAGAGATTCAAAGTTTGCAATTTTGAAGCTGGAACATTAGTTCCCAGAGATTATATGATCCTTTGAGAGACAGTGTTTAGAGGTGCTGATGGAGGATGACAATTTTGAGGAATGAGATAGTGAATGATAATAATAAAACTAAAGAGTGTAAGAGAGTCCAGGAGATCAGTGGAAAACATTAGTTTGGATGAGAAAAGTCAGAATGCCAGCTATCCACTAGCCTCCAGAGAGGAGTAGGGTTCCCAGAGATGGCACTGGAACAAGAGTTTAAAGCTTTAGAAGGAGGAATCAAGGAGAAGTGTGCTCACCCTTTCTCCTCAAAACTAGAATGAGGGGTAGGAGAATAAACAAGACTATTCACAGATCATGTAAGGGGCAGGTAAGCTATGGTAATAGGGGAAGATAGGAGGAATGATAAAGAAAAAGGTAAGAATGTAGGGGAGTTTTGGCACAAAACTTAACAGGCATTCCTAATGGGCAATCTCAGATCCTATGAGGCCAAAATATTTGGACTTACTGAAGGCTTCATTTTCCCCCAGCTATTCTTAAAAACATAGTCTAAAACCTTCTGAGCAGTTTTTATCTAGAACAAGAATGAAGAAGGTAAGATCTTCCCTACATGTCTTCAATAAAACCAAGCTAATACATATAGCAATAGACCACTTGATTTCCAATCAATTGCAAGGGTCTCAGTTCTTAAAAGGCATCACATCATTTCTGCTTCATTTTTCTTTCTTCAAATCTACAACTATTTGCAGAACATCAGAAGTTACCTTGACATTTCTTACAAAACTAAACATGCCCTTACCGTTTGATCCAGCAATTATACCTCTTGATATTTACCCAAATGAGTTAAAAACTATATTCACACAGAAGCCTACACACAAATGTTTACAGCAATTTCATGCATAATTGCCAAAACTCAGAAGTAACCAAGATGTCCTTCAATAAGTGAATAAATAAACAAACTGTGGTACATCTATACAATGGAATATTATTCATTGTTAAAAAGAAATGAGCTATCAAGCCACAAAAAGACATGGAGGAACTTTAAAGGCACATCGCTAAGTGAAAGAAGCCAGTATGAAAACACAATACATAGTTGAGTCCAACTATATGACATTCTGAAAAAGGCAAAACTATGGAAACAGTGAAAAGATCAGTGGTTGTCAGGGGTTTGGAAGAGGGAAAGAGGATGACAGGCAAAGCACAGGATGATTTTTAGGACAGTGCAACTACTCTGAGTGGTGCTATAATGATAGATACATGTTATTATGCATTTGTCAAAACCCATAGAATGGACAACACAAAGGGTGAACCCTGATTTAAACTATGAATCTCTACCTATGGGTTCATGAAGAAAAAAAATAAAAAATATAAATAACTATGGGTCTCAATATATTGATATTGGCTTATCAAAGTAACAAATGTATCACACTAATGCAAGATGTTAATTATAGGGGAAACTGGGGTAGGTGGGATGTGAGGAGTATATGGGAATTCTCTGTACTTTCTGCTCAAATTTTCTGTAAATCTAAAACTTCTCTAAAAAGTAAAGTTTATGAACTTAAAAAAAAGTTAGCCCTGAAGTGCTGAATAAATTTAACTACTTTCCAGGACTTTGTTTCTGACTTACACCAAATTTTGAAATATACTTCTATCGTCACAGGTAGCAGCTTTTTCCATGATCTTCCACTAGAAGATTAGTTGTATTCTGTTGTTTATTCACATGGCAAAGAAATAGGCCATCTCCCTCAACTGATAAAACCAAACAAAGAGGACTACAAGGGAAGCTAGGGTGCTATCGTCCATTTGGGTTCCACATATGAGGATCATTGGGCCACACATCAGCTTAAGAGTTGCCCCCAGATCATGGCATCTGCCCTGCCCTTCCTTACTGTGCATCCATTTCAGGAGCATTTATTCATCCTATTTCTAAAGAAGATGATGCTGAGAGTAGGATTTACTCTTTCATCAGGACTTATTTGAAATAAAATGGACCAGTTTGAGTTATGCCAAAATGCCTTACCCACCACCCTCAGTCTCCCCACAACACACAAAGCAAAGTAGCTTAAAAGGGTGAGCTTCTGATGATGAAATGGAGAAGTTAGTGAACCAGCCTACATAAAAATTCAGGCTTGAAAACACATTTTATCTCACCTATGTTTTATGTAGACAGATCTCTAAAACTGACAATATTAAAATTATTTTCTCACCGAGAGGCACACTATCTGCATTTTAATCAACCAATGAAGTTTTACAAAATCTCTAATGATGAAGTGCCTTCCTGACCAGACATGGGGAAAGTAAATTGGGTGCAAAAGAGCTTCCATAGAAGGTGAAACAAACTCTCTTTAATTCATCTCAAACCTTCAAGCTCTGTTTCAGAAATGCTTCCAAAGTTTCAGGGTGAAATAAGGAAATTTCCCTTTCCCTCTAGCCAACTATTTCATTTACCCTTCTTAAGATACACTCTTTCCTTAGAAACCTAGAATCTTCTATATTTATATATGACCTTGCACTTTCTACTATAATACTTAGTAGACAAGAGAATAGACTTCCACTGCCAAGTTTTAAACAGTTCTTGTGGAGAAGAAAAATAAATTGAACCAGAATTACTGCTTACATTTATTTTCCTAGAATTCATCTCTAATAGGTATTTCTAGCTCACTCTCCAAAGATTAAAATCACAAAAGAAATGAAAAGGAAGCTTTAGAACATACTAATGCAGTTTTTTAAAAAGTAATAATAGTATATGTGTGTTTGGCTAATGGGAAGCAAAAAATAAAAATAATATATGGATAATTTTGCTGAATAGTCTAATGGTCTTAAAGACTCTCTGGAGATATGAAATATAAAACCTGTTTCTTCTAACAACATTTTACTTGATCATGGACTGCATTTCTTGAATTGAATATTAAGGTGGCCTGTTAGAATTATTATTTAGAAGAGGGGTCCCCAACCCCCTGGCTACTGACCAGTATCAGTCTGTGGCCCATTAAAACCCGGGCAGCACAGCAGAAGGTAAGCTGCAGGTGAGCAACTGAGCATTAACAACTGAGCTCCACCTTCTGTCAGACCAGTGGCGGCATTAGATTCTCACAGGAGCTTGAATCTTATTGTGAACTGCATATTCACTGAGGGACCTAGGTTGCATGCCCCTTATGAGAATCTAACTAATGTCTGATGATCTGCGGTGGAAATTTCATCCTGAAACCATCCCCCCTTCCCTTGGAAAAATAGTCTTCCATGAAACCAGTCCCTGATGCTGAAAGGGTTGGGGACTACTGATTTAGAGCACACGTTTGTTTGACAAAAACTGATTCCAGACTATTTCTAAAGGTTGTTTTCAAAGATTTTTGTAAAAGTACCCTGTTCAGAGTTGACAGGGAGGTATCAAATAACAAAATCTTGTGTTAGTGAAATGTTTTTCTTTTTAAATATTTAGGGTAGTATTGAGAACAACTGCTTTTCAAAAACAGATGTAAGAAGAAATAATGTGGTGTTAAATTCTTTTGTAAAAGTTGACAACAGCATGAGAGATTCAAAAACTGAACAGAGTAGATACATAAGGCAATACTTTTCCATTGAATAGTATTCAACATAAATGCATAGGCACCAAAACAGTATAAAAATTTCACAATTTTACTCATTGTCATATTTCTAAGATAAAGCAGGTTCCTAACAGAATTCTTAACAGTGATCTCTCTAGATAAATCAGGGAGAAAATTACAACTGAACTATTGATTCTACTGTGGGTCAGGATGGTGACCAGCCCTGGCTCATGGTCTTGACACATCCAGACAGAACTAAGTCAGTTTTTCTGCAAATTCCCATCTCTTCCCCTGTAAAACAAGAAGTGTACCGAGGCGTTCCATTGCCACTCACCCCCTTAAAGTCAAATTTCAATCATTTGTGACATACGTGTTTATATTCCTTTGATTAGTGTCTCCAGAATGGTATAGAAGTACCCAGCATACATAGAAAGCTTTTAAAATTTTTTCAATTCATGATTTTTTTCTAAAAGAAACTGAAAGCATACCGCATGTTATGTTCTTTGTGATCCAGTATTTTTCAAGTTAAAACATCATTCATTTCCTGAAAAATCCCAGCCTTAGTCTTCTCCAACACTAAAACTGAGGAAATAATAGCTGTCTAAATTTTTCTGCCACTACAGAGTAAAAGTGAGACATTACTAAGAAAAGCATTTAGAACTCTTACGATTCACTAGTTGGTTAAGTGTTTTTCTTTGGAGAAGCTAAATGCTCTTCGAAAGTAGAATAACACGGGCCCTCCCATCTAAGTGAGGAAAGCAGAAGGCAGTTTATCATACTCGACCTCTTGACATAGCCAAAGGGAAACTGAAACTCTAAAAGATGATTAGCTAGCATCACTAGAAATAACAGAACTCAAACAAACTGAGCTCCCAGGCAAGAACTTCCTGAGAAACATGCTGCTCCCTTCAAGCCGAGAGCAAATGCTAGATATTTTCATCTTTAATTTAACCTAACAATTTCAGCTACTGAGGAAAGAAACTTTATATACCCCATACAAATTTTAGAATGTAAAAATTATTAAACACACAGCTGAATTCAATATAGGAATGACTACTCTTTGAAAAATAATCACAGTTTATAGCAAACTTTGAAAAATGTAATTGGAAAAAAGGAGCCCCTAATTTCAAACAAATGCTGCTGTTTCCCTTCCCTGGTGATGCTAAATTGCATAATATTCTAATTGGATGCATATCTTCTTCCATTTTCAAGGCAGATCAATGATTTCTATGATAATTAAGGATTAACATAGCTTTTATAATAAAATCCCAAAATTTTTCCAGAAACCTAATTTTAGTTAACAATTTTACACACTAACTTTGTGCACTGAAACCAATCCACTCACTTAGTTGATTCAGTGGGTCACCTGCCAGTCATAACTAGATGCCTTTCTACAGGCCTGGCCCAATCCCAGCTCTCCATCCTTCCTCCTTCAATTCCCATCCTTAGCTTAACCAAGCTGGAATTTTGGTATCTATCTTCTCTGCTGAAAGTAGTGAAGATATATGACCTGAAATCAGCTGATTTTGAGGCGCAATTCTAACATACTCCTGATGTCCTTCTTCCTTTCAGAAGCCACTGATTTCAAGAAAATGGCTAAGCAGCCAGAGACCACAGAAAGAGGTAGCAACTGAAAACTACTGTCAAACTTGATTATTTTGTAGAATATTTAAAATATACTTACTAATTAGGGAGCAAAGTTTACAAATTGTACCAACATTCTGCTTTTTTCATTAATGCATATAAAACCGTCTATGTTGGATAGCATGCCAGTCTTTTGTCCTGAGATCCAGAGTCTCATTTAAACTAGGATATCCCATCTTCACCTCAAATATGACATGGCTACATCCTAACTCGTCATTAGTCTCGCAAACCCCATGACTCTGACCTTCTGAACTGCAACCTTAAACTTTAATGCACAAGTGGCCTCTCTTTCCAAGGAGACTCTAAATTCTTTCAGGAAAGAGATCATGATTTAGATTTTTTTTAATCTCTCACAAAAACTGACACTTAATACTTGACGGTCAGAATCTGCTCAGTAAAGCCAGGCACAGTGGCTCACACCTATAATCCCAGCACTTTGGGAGACCAAGGCAGGAGGATCACTTGAGTCTAGGAGTTCAACACCAGCCCAGGCAACACAGCAAGATTTCCATCTCAACAAAAAAAAACTTTAAAAAAATAAGCTATCTGTCATAGATTGTGCCTATAGGAGGATCCCTTAAGCTTAGGCGATCCAGGCCACAGTGAGCCATGATCATGTCACTGCACTCCAGCCTGGGCAACGGAGAACCCATCTCTAAAAAAAGAGAATTTGTCCAGTAAATATTTTTCAATTAATACATCAGAAATAGTAAAATATGTAACTTAACAATATAGGAATTTCACTAATTTGCATAACTTGATTATTTGGGTGATTTAAATACTCTGATTCCTGGAATACAGAAGACCTGTTTTATTAGAGCTAACAAAACTTTAGCAAGCTTAAGTTAAATCTCCTTTTATTTATTCTATATATTCTAAGACAGAAGTGACAGACAGTGAATTGAACAAGAGTAAGGATTTTTTACAAACACAATAATTTTAATAGGAAAATTGGAGAATGATTTAAAAACTGGCCAAAAATAAAATTCATGAGTTAAATCGCTTCTTAGCTTTCTACTGGCAACAGTCAAAAATATTTATTTCTATAGATATCACAAAACTTTGTTTAAAACTTCAATTTATAAAATGCAACAACTTGTGATTTCTACTCTCCAAGGAAAAAAAAAATCATTTGTAACATACTGTGGACCAACCTGGGAAATAGGTAGATTTGAATTCACAATGACATACTATCATTACACTGTAGTAGTCTTACTGGCTCCTGCAGAAGTCATTAAAAACTTGTACAACTGAAAAAAATGAGTTAATACTTTAAGAACAAAAATAAAATAAAATAAGAATACTTTGAGAGCATTCTATATTTCTAATATCATTTATTAAATGCCTATTATGAGCCTGATGATTTACATACATGGTCTCATGTAATTCTCACAACATCACAGTAAATTGCTAGTTCCATTTTAGAGGTGAAGAAACAGAGTCTCAAAGAAATCAAACAGTTTGGCCCAGATTACAAACTAGAACATGACATAAAGTGTTTGGCTCCAGTCCCAAATTTGTCCTACCATATTACACAGCTCCTATTAATAGTGGATATCAAGTTTTCGCTCTATTAAAAACGGCCTTTGCAAACTCATAGAGACAGAAAGTATAATGATGGTTGCCAGGAATGGGGAGGGGCGGAATATGAGGAGTAATTAATTATAGAGGGTCAGTTTGGGATGACGAAACAGTTCTGGACATGTACACTGGGAATATAACAATGTGAATATACTAAGAGCCACAAAACTATCTACTTAAAAATGGTTAAAATGATAAAATTTCTGTTATGCACATTTTAACACAATGTTTTTTTTATTACACTTCATGTTCTAGGATATATGAGAAGAATGTGCAGGTTTGTTACATAGTTACACACATGCCGTGGTGTTTGCAGCACCCATCAACCTGTCATCTATGTTAGGTAGTTCTCCTAATGCTATCCCTCTCCTAGCCTCCCACCCCTGACATGCCACTGTGTGATGTTCCCCTCCCTGTGTCCATGTGTTCTCATCGTTCATCTCACACTTATGAGTGAGACCATGTAATGTTTGGTTTTCTGTTCCTGTGTTAGTTTGCTGAGAATGATGGTTTCCAACTTCATCCACATCTCTACAAAGGACATGAACTCATCCTTTTTTAAGGGTGCACAGTATTCCACGGTGTATATTTGCCACATTTTCTTGATCCAGTCTATCATTGATGGACATTTGGGTTAGTTCCACATCTCTGCTATTGTGAATAGTACCGCAATAAACATACGTGTGCATGTGTCTTTATAGTAGAATGATTTATAATACTTTGGGTATATACCCAGTAACGGGATTGCTGGGTCAAATGGTATTTCTGGTTCTAGATCCTTGAGGAATTGCCACACTGTCTTCCACAATGCTTGAACTAATTTACACCCCCACCAACAGTGTACGAGTGTTCCTATTTCCCCACATCCTCTGCAGCATGTGTTGTTTCCTGACTTTTTAATGATCGCCATTCTAACTGGCATGAGATGGTATCTCATTGTGATTTTGATTTGCAATTCTCTAATGACCAGTGATGAAGAGCTTTTTCTCATATGTTTGTTGGCCACATAAATGTCTTCTTTTGAGAAGTGTCTGTTCATATCATTCACCCACTTTTTGATGGGGTTGTTTTTTTCTTGTAAATTTGTTTAAGTTCTTTGTAGATTCTGGATATTAGCCCTTTGTCAGATGGATAGATTGCAAAAATTTTCTCCCATTCTGTAGGTTGCCTGTTCACTCTGATGATAGTTTCTTTTGCTGTGCAGAAGCTCTTTAGTTTAATGAGATCCCATTTGTCAATTTTGGCTTTTGTTGCCATTGCTTTGGGATTTTAGTCATGAAGTCTGTGCCCATGCCTATGTCCTAAATAGTATTGCCTAGGTTTTTTTGTTTGTTTGTTTGTTTTTTGAGACAGAGTCTTGCTCTGTCGCCCAGGCTTGGCTCACTGCAAGCTTCGCCCCCTGGGTTCAGCCATTCTCCTGCCTCACCTCCAAAGCAGCTGGGACTACAAGCGCCCATCACCAGGCCCAGCTAATGCTTTTTGTATTTCTTAGTGGAGACGGGGTTTCACCGTGTTAGCCAGAATGGTCTCGATCTCCTGACCTCGTGATCCACCCGCCTCAGCCTCCCAAAGTGCTGGGATTACAGGCGTGAGCCACCGCGCCCGGACTGCCTAGGGTTTTTATGGTTTTAGGTATTATGCTTAAGTCTTTAATCCATCTTGCATTAAATTTTGCATAAGGTGTAAGGAAGGGATCCAGTTTCAGTTTTCTGCCTATGGCTAGACATTTATTAAATAGGGAATCTTACCCCATTGTTTGTTTTTCTCAGGTTTGTCAAAGATCAGATGGTTGTAGATGTGTGGCATTATTTCTGAGGCCTCTGTTCTGTTCCACTGATCTATATATCTATTTTGGTACCAGTACCATGCTGTTTTGGTTACTGTAGCCTTGTAGCATAGTTTGAAGTCAAGTAGCATGATGCCTCCAGCTTCGTTCTTTTTGCTTGGGATTGTCTTGGCTATAACAGCTCTTTTTTGGTTCCGTATGAAATTTAAGACAGTTTTTTCTAATTCTGTGAAGAAAGTCAATGGCAGCTTGTTGGGGATAGCATTGAATCTATAAATTACCTTGGGCAGTATGGCCATTTTCACTATATTGATTCTTCGTGAGCATGGAATGTTTTTCCATTTGTTTATGTCCTCTCTTATTTCCTTGAGCAGTGGTTTGTAGTCCTCCTTGAAGAGGTCCTTCATATCCTTTGTAAGTTGTATTCCTGAGTATTTTATTCTCTTTGTAGCAATTGTGAATGGGAGTTTGCTCATGATTTGGCTCTCTGTTTTTCTATTATTGGTGTATAGGAATGCTTGTGATTTTTGCACATTGATTTTGTATCCTGGGACTGCTAAGGTTGTTTATCAGCTTAAGGAGATCCTGGGCAGAGATTATGGGGTTTTCTAAATAAACAATCATGCCATCTGCAAACAGAGACAACTTGATTTCCTGTCTTCCTATTTGAATACTTATATTTTTTTCTCTTGCCTGATTGCCCTGACCAGAACTTCCAATACTATGTTGAATAGGAGTGGTGAGAGAGGGCATCCTTCTCTTATGCCAGTTTTCAAAGGGAATGCTTGCAGATTTTACCCATTCAGTATGATATTGGCTATGGGTTTGTCATAAATAGCTCTTACTATTTTGAGATACATTCCATCAATACCTACTTTATTGAGAGTTTTTAGCCTGAAGCTGCCTCCCGGGCTCAAGTGATTCTCCTGCCACCGCCTCCTGAGTAGCTGGGATTCCAGACACATGCCACCACGCCCAACTAATTTTTGTATCCTTATTAGAGACAAGATTTTACTCCTGACCTTGTGATCTGCCGGCCTCAGCCTCCCAAAGTGCTGGGATCACAGGCGTGAGCCACAGCACCTGGCCAAATTTTATCAAAGGTCTTTTCTGCATCTATTGAGATAATCACGTGTTTTTTGTCATTGGTTCTGTTTATGTGATGGATTACATTTATTGATTTGTGTTTGTTGGACCAGCCTTGCATCCCAGGGATGAAGATGATTGTGATGGATAAGCTTTTGATGCGCTGCTGGATTCGGTTTGCCAGTATTTTATTGAGGATTTTCGCATTGATGTTCATCAGGCATATTGGCCTGAAATTTTCTTTTATTGTTTTGTCTCTGCCAGGTTTTGGTATCGGGATGTTGCTGGCCTCATAAAATGAGTTAGGGGAGGAGTCCTTCTTTTTCTATTGTTTGGAATAGTTTCAGAAGCAATGGTACCAGCTCCTCTTCGTACCTCTGGTAGAATTTGGCTGTGAATCAGTCTGGTCCTGGACTTTTTTTGGTTGGTAGGTTATTAACTATTGCTTCAATTTCAGAACTTGTTATTGGTCTATTCAGGGATTTGACTTCTTCCTGGTTTAGTCTTGGGAGGGTGTATGTGTTCGGGAATTTATACATTTCTTCTAGAATTTCTAGTTTATTTGCATAGAGGTGTTTATAGTATTCTCTGATAGTAGTTCATATTTCTGTGGGATCAGTGGTGATCTCCCCTTTATCAATTTTTCACTGTATCTATTTGATTCTTCTCTCTTTTCTTCTTTACTAGTCTGGCTAGCCATCTATCTATGTTGTTAATCTTTTCAAAAAAACAGCTCTTGGATTCATTGATTTTTTGAAGGGTTTTTTTGTGTCTCTGTCTCCTTCAGTTTTGCTCTGATCTTAGTTTTTCTTGTCTTCTGCTAGCTTTCGAATTTGTTTGATCTTGCTTCTCTGGTTCTTTTAATTGTGATGTTGGGGTGTTGATTTTAGATTTTTCCCACTTTCTCCTGTGGGCATTTAGTGCTATAAATTTCCCTCTAAATGCTGCTTTAGCTGTGTCCCAGAGATTCTGGTACATTGTGTCTTTGTTCTCACTGGTTTCAAAGAACTTATTTATTTCTGCCTTAATTTTGTTATTTATCCAGTAGCCATTCAGGTTGTTCAGTTTCCATGTAGTTGTCCAGTTCTGAGCGAGTTTCTTAATCATGAGTTCTAATTTGATTGCACTGTGTTCTGGGTGACTGTTTATTATTATTTCCGTTCTTTAGCATTTTCTGAGGAGTGTTTTATTTCCAATTCTGTGGTCAAATTTAGAATAAGTGCTATGTGGTGCTAAGAAGAATGCATATTCTGTTGATTTGGAGTGGAGAGTTCTGTAGATTCTATTAGGGCTGCTTGGTCCAGAGCTGAGTTCAAGTCCTGAATATCCTTATTAATTTTCTTTCTCGTTCATCTGTCGAATATTGACAGTGGCATGTTTTTGCAGTGGCTGGTATTGGTTTTTCCTTTCCATATTTACTGCTTCCTTCAGGAGCTCTTGTAAGGCAGGCCTGGTGGTGACAAAGTCCCTCAGCATTTGCTTGTCTAAAAAGGATTTTATTTCTCCTTCACTTATGAAGCTTAGTTTGGCTGGATATGAAATTCTGGGTTGAAAATTCTTTCCTTTTTTTTTTCTATTTTTTTTTTATTATTATACTTTAAGTTCTAGGGTACATGTGCATAACGTGCAGGTTTGTTACATATGTATACTTGTGCCATGTTGCTGTGCTGCACCCATCTATACCCAGCTAATGGAGTGCGGCCTGGGGTAGCATCATGGCATACCTCTAGTTCTAGATCTTTGCGGAATCGCCATACTGTTTTCCATAATGGTTGAACTAGTTTACAATCCCACCACAGTGTAAAAGTGTTCCTATTTCTCCAACATCCGTCCCAGCACCTGTTGTTCCTGACTTTTTAATGATGGCCATCTCTAACTCGGTGTGAGATGGTTATTCTCATGGTGGTTTTGATTATGCATTTTCTCTGATGGCCAGTGAGATGAGCATTGTTTGCATGTGTCTGTTGGGCTGTATGAATGTCTTCTTTTGACGAAAGTGTCTGTTCATATCCTTTGCCCACTTTTTTGATGGGTTAGTTTTTTTCTTGTAAATTTGTTGAAGTTCTTTTGTAGGTCTGATATTAGCCCTGTTTGTCAGATGAGTAGAGTGCAAACATTATTCTCCCTTCTGTAGGTTGCCTGTTCACTCTGATGGTAGTTCTTTTGCTGTGCAGAAAGCTGCTTAGTTTAATGAATCCCATTTGTCAACTTTTGGCTTTGCTGCATTGCTTTTGGTGGTTTTAGACGATGAGAGTCTTTGCCATTGCCTATGTGCCTGACATGGTACCTACCTAGGTTTTCCTCTAGGGGCTTTTTAATGGTATTAGGTCTAAATTTTACAGTCTGTTGTAGTCGCATGCTTGAGA